GAACATTCCTCTAAGGTTTCAGCGTTCTAGCTTCTCAGATCCCCGAGTTATAAACACACCCCAAAAAATTTTGGCGGGCCCGCGGGCATCACGCGGGTGTTGGCGACCATTTTGGGGATTGGGGCCGCCACGTGCATATAGATTAAGTTCCCGGAATTTCAGACCCGCAGCTTTTATAGGTCTTGAGATGAAACTGCGTGACAGATACACACACGGACACACAGAAAACCCCTCGTCAATATGCGTTTTCTGCATTGCATAGCTGCAAGAAACGCATAAAAAACCACTCCAAGATCCACAAATTTAAGCAATATACACAACTTCTGCGGCTGCAGTCTACAATTTCAGTGACGGAACCGGCAAAAGATCTCTTAAAAACCTTGATTCTGACCAAAACCAAACGTTATGTCGAAATACGAAATTATTCGGCAATTTTCCGTAAGGAATCGATCTTTTTGCTGAGCTGTTGCGTCCAGTTTATCATTTCATTGATATCATCCGTGCTAAAATAAACCAGTGAATAAGCATAAAATTCTCATTTCGATAAACTTTTAGCCTTTATTATGAAATTTTTTACCATTTCAGTATCCAGTGACTTGTTTAAACAACAAAATACTACAAACACACACACATACACACACACACACACACACACACACAGAAACACGACAAATTCAAGCCTTTGAAGGAGGGGAGAACTTCGTCTTCTGCAAAAAATACGAAACTATTAAAATTGCCCCATGTCGGGGTGCACCCAAAAACTCAGTGTAGGCATGCAAGCCTTTCGATCCTGCGTAGCACAAGTCCAGTTAGTACCCAATGACTATTTATTGTATATGCACCGCTTTTTGACGAGCAGCTCGAGTTTATTTTTTTGCAAGCACCAACTATTAAACTGTGACATCCATCAAATTTCATAAGGCGCTTATCGATTTTACTTTCTTACGTCATCGCAGAAACATCCTATAAGCGCTTATCTGGCTAATTGTATGGTGAAAAAGACAACAATACGCATCCTTTGTTCCACTGCTTCCTTTATCACAGCAAACACTCTCTTCTGCCTTCATTAATCAAGATTTTTCGCACCCGTACTTCACTGCCACTAACACAACAGTACTTAAGGAGTGAGAACTGTCCCCTAGGTTCGACAATTCGAGTCGTCCTGGTATGCATGGTACTGCCGAAATCTGTGTTGTCGTATCCCGGTACCTTTTCCGTTGTTACTCAAGCATGTGGATAGAAAATCAGTAGGAAAAATCCAAGCAAAAAGCGATTTTTACGCAGCTTTATGCAGCAGTAAGATCATTAACAGTGTGAGTGGTTGCTACTTTACTGTTTCAAATGAGCAACCATGCTGGAAAAGTTCGCTGTCTTTTCTAACACGCGGAAGAGAAAAAGCCATTCGCAAAAAAAGTAGTTGGGCCTCGTAAAACTGCAACTTTTTAAAATGTTTGGGAGGAAACTCCGACAAAAATTTTGCAAACGGTAATGCCACTGTATCTACACCTGAAACACAGATGCAAGCGAAGGCTCACTTTGCGCTTGCGAGCCGGAATATCAACAGCACCACGCACTAGACGTGCAGTTTTCTGCACACCCCGATTCACAGACTCGATGGGTGTCAATTTTGCAAAACGAACAGTCTCGTGTTCGAACGCAAAACACATACATACGTGACAGGTTGTTTTACGCCTGCAGGTTCACACATGAACAGCGTATGCCCTCTAAAAATGGAGTCTTCTACTCGTGCTGGTTTCTGAATTAAAGGATGCCTACAGTGTCTCAGATTCAAACCTCACTGCGTGCAAGTGGTGCCCTGGCGTAGCTTAAACCTTAAGGTTTTCAGATAACATACGGGCGAGTTTATCGTGAAATTTCAGTTTCCTAGCTCGTCTGCTCCTTGAGTTAGAAGAGTGCCGGCATTCCCCAACCCGAAATTTCATTTGTACGTATACAGAATGCAAGCATATGTGACAACTGCGTGTTAAAGCTTTAAGTTACGCATATACGTAATATTCTCGTAAAACTTCTGCCTCGCAGCTTGAATGATTTCCGAAACTGCTTTACGTTAAAAACATCGTTGATTTGTCTGTACAAGTGATGCAGACGTACGTAAGTGCTAAATTTAAGATTTATAGGTTAAATATGGATCAGGCATCCATGTAAAATTTCAGCTTCCTAACTCTTGTCGTTGTTGCGCTGAAGGTGGGCGACAAAATTCGAACACACATACATATACACATACAAGCACAAACACAAACGCACACACACAAACACACGCATATATACACACTGGTAACCTCTTGCCAATACGCATTTCTGCATTTGTCAAAGATGTAAGAATGAGTGAAGGACGTACTTTTTGGACAGCATAAATTTTCGGGCAGTGAACGATGCATTAAATGAACGAGTTGGACCGAAACGTTCGCGGCGTCTCAAAGCCACTTCATTTGCAAACTGAAAAAGAAAGTCAAAGAATAAGCGTTTTGCGGGTGATTACAAATGCCACCAATGAACATTCATTTTTTTTTCTTTCATACACTTCTCTAAATGCTAATTTTCTATGCTCAAACCTCCTCTGCAACCTTGTTTCCGTAGTTTTATCCCAACTACTGTAGCGACTGACTCAGTGGAAAAATGAAGACAAATCTCTCTTGGGCTGAAGGCATGACTATTTAATTTTTGACCAGCTGTCGTTTCGCCCCATCTCATTTTTGCAACGTCAATGCAATTGTTCAACTTTGGGATTTCTGTGTTTCTTCAAAATGTCTAACAGCGTCCTGTGTTTTTCCACAGCAGCCAAAATCTCAAGATTTAGGCCAAGAAACAACCATATAGGAGTATACCGGTGTTTCAAACCCTCCGAAACGACTTTCAAAAAAAAAAAACACAGCACTTATGTCTGAAGCTAAATGTATGGGGGGATTAACAGCACAGGAAAATATGCGAACCAGCGCTATTCGTTGGAAATTTAGCGAAAAATATGTAGGACACAGACACCAACGTAGTGAATTAATCAGCGCTCAGTTTGCTTCGGACATTTCAAAAACCGTATACACAAATACAAACATCGAAACCACCAACTCGTTATTTTAAGGATGAAATACATTAGGAAGAAATACGTTTTTGCCCCGATAAATCAGCTGCATTAGAAAGGTATCTAATTTGTGGAACCACAGACAATAGAAGAATGCTCTTCTGTAGTCTTTCCAGTTATCTAGTAACAGCCCTCCTCATGCCCACTGTAACGAACACCACACGAAAGAAAAAAAACGTCTTAAGTATTAATCGCACGAGGATTTACAAAACTGGAGGGTATTCGGTGTTGTGGTATCAGAGTTCAATCAGGAGATAATCTGTGGAGGAGAGGAACGGGTTAGTGAAACAAAAAGATTAGTTTTGGCTTGAAATTCACATATTTCATCACAAAACATCAATGAAGGCCAGACAAAGCTAGGGAACCCGTGCAAAAACTAACATGCGGCAGCTGTCGACTAATACTTTCAACATTCACGCGCAACGTTTCCAATTTTTCATCCAAAATCTTCTCAGCATCGGTCAGCGGAAACATTTTTGGCATCAAGCCAGCACCAAGCTAAAAGTTTTTACTTCAAATGAATCAGTGTTTGCAAAAGGTCAATTCCATCTTCGACAATCAGTCCTTTCACAATTTGTTCATTCGCACTGACACATGCCAGGATTACTTTAAAACTCGGCTCGACTCAGCTTGGCCGAGTTGGAAGGAAGTAAGGATGACTGTACTGTACTTGCTCAGAGAGAGAGGAAGGGGATATAATATTGTAACATAGCAGCCAAACTAAAATGCTAGGATTTTATGAACTTAGTTTACAACACTGTGCGAGTAATTACGTTAAACAATCTTCAGGAGCCCATACATCTCGTACGCAAGTATGTGGAATTTTGACGTCCACAATGACTTAACAGCCAGGCCAGCTGGGTTAAAATTTTGCAACTCCGTAGCCATGTACAGCTAAGTATACCGAAAATCAACTAAGCTCCACAAGCCTCATATTCGAATACGTAATAAATTTGGTTACTGATTATGCAAAAAACGCATGGTCGCAACAGCAATCCTAATTCGTGCCGCTCCTAGTTTAATTTGCGAGTTAGTCCTAAGTCTTTCATATGTGACACTTATATATTTTTTAAAATAAAAACAAAGATTAGCTCCACAAAACTTGCTGTAATCTCTTGCGAAAGTAGTCTGAGAATCGAACTTCTGAACATCTTCCCCGAACGATCCTCTGATGTGCTAAATTAAATTACACCTCCAGCCCATTCGTTTCACAGCATCCAGTGGAGTCCTTTTACTGTATGTATATGTCCTTGTATACGTACTTCCCTACATACCCATACTTTCGCATACGTCGTTTTATTCTGCTATTACAGTCGCAAGGCATATTTTTCAGTGTTCCGGAATAAGAAATGATAAATCATGCTTTAAACATATTTTCTTACAAGAAAAGTCTGAAGCAAATGTTATATTTTTCAAACCTCATCCGCGCGCTTTTTTAGATCTGCAACTTCCCGATGAATTTTGTAAATTCGGTTTTTCAATTCAACATATGCTGACAGCACCCGTAATAACCGTTCACCCAGCAACGACTTTTCTTTATCAACCATTTCCAAATTACTGAGATCATCGGAAATTCTGGAACAGAAAAAAATTACACAGAAAGCTGCACACTCATCCAAGAAAAAACACCATACAGCCTTAATATTGTAAAACTCGCCTACAAGATAATGTCAAGAAAATTTTGGTGGATTCTCAAAGAAATTTTGCTAATTACATATGCATTTAAAATGCATCACTTTTACACGTTTTGTGCTATAACAGTCGTGCAAAACCAGGATCCTCAACTTGGCAACCAGCAAAGCTTGCAAGCTGAAATTTTGGGGGGGATGTTCATGCCGATGTGCGTTCTTACAAAATTCAGATTTAGCTTTCACGTACAATTTGATCTCAGGTACGAAAATGTGAAAGATTTAGCCACAAATTCTCTAAATCGAGAATTCTGAAATTTTATGAGGATGTTTCCTGTCAATGTGCAACTCAGTTGTCAAGTGCACCTATATCTCACTTACAGCGACTTGAAAGCTGTAGCAGGAAACGTTCTATCTTAAAAATAATAAAAGTTAGCTGGACAGCGCACCGATTGCCGGTGCGAAGATGCGCTTTTTCCTTGCAAGTTTTTATCGCTAACGGCACTGCTTTTTCCTGTAGATGCTTCTAGTTAAAAGAACTGAGACTAGCCGCAAAGAACGTCAAAAAACATCCCCTTCAAGTTTCAGCTTCATGGATTTTCTGATTTCCGAGTTAACAACTTACCCGTCAAAAATTTCCACGAGCCTGTATACAGCACACTCAGAGGCTGAATTTGAAGTCATTGGTTTTTCCTTGGATAGAAAATATCCTCTTAAGATTTCAGCCTTCTAGTTTTTCTGGTTTCCAAGTTAACGATTTACTTGCCAAAAATTTTCACAGGTCCGTAGGTAGGAAGCACGTGGGCAGGACCCTCCATTTTGAGGATAGGGGCCCGTACATGCGTGTAGATTAAGTTGCCAAAGTTTCAATCTTGTAGCTGTTGTAGCTTTCGAGATGAAAAATCGGTAAAGACGCATGTACAGACGCATACTCATATATGCACACACATACACACAGATAATCTCTCAACAATGTGCATTTTTGCATTGCGCAGGTAAAAAAAAAATGCATAAAAAGCTAAAACTCTGCGAGAATGCCCTTAGCTTCCATACTTGCTGCACCATATAAGGAAACTTAAAAGCCCAGGCGAAAAGGTGCTGACATTTTTGCAGTCCACTGAGCAGCTCTGCGCAAAACGTATGACTGCGTTAGCTATGTACTGCGTGCTGCTATTTATATTTTGCAGCAACAATCATTTTAAGCCGCAGAGGACTGGAAAAGTTCTTCGTCGACAGCAGATTCCGCCAACCCAGAGCAATTAGGTGTCACTCGCCCGATTGCTAGCAATTCACTCTTGCTGTAACGTTTCAAACTCACTTCACTTAAGCTAGATACCTAAGAAACCCAGGCTGGAACGCACCAGGCGGGCCGGTGCGATTATGCGTTTTTGCACTTCTCGTGCC